CACTTACGCAATTGCCCTCGTCCCGGGTGGTGACCCGCCACAGAAATCTGGATCCCACCCAATTCCAGACAGAAGGTTGCAAGAATCCTAATAAATTAGCCAGTTGGATTAATGCATTCTTTACTTTCCTAGCTACCTTTTAGTTTCATTACTTGAGGAATGCTTCATTCCCAATTTCAAAACTTTTTTTCCAATCTAACATAGTTAACATGATTGAAAAGGTATTTACCCAAGATGAGTCCAACCATAGAACTCAGATAACCAGTGCCACTGCCAAGATTCAAAAACGACAGCCCTGGTTGCAGATCCAAAGCTTCCATCACCTCAGAGTAAATGCACGGTGCTGAAAGATGAATGTTTCCATGCTTCCACGCCAAGTCCTTGTAGGCATTGTCTTTGAACTCTTCCAGGTAGTAATCTGCTCGATCAATGGCTCGGAACGCCTGTTCTACCAGTTCTGTCCGGATGTATTGTGCCTCCTTCAGGTTATCAATTAATTCATCATTATCTTCTCCTGCACTCACTGCACCTCCCATCTTCAACAGTTTTCTAGAAGCACTAAAACTGAAAGAATAATAAAGGAAGGTGAGGTACAGAGCATGCACTTGAACACTGAATTATACTGCTGTGTATGAAGTACCTTGAGATCTTTAGGTACTGTAAGGAAAACAAGCAGCAGAAAAACATTACCACCACCACCCTGTCAAACAATGAAAAACAAAAGGCAGCAGATCTGGCATGTAGTACCTGACACTAGAGGGGGGAAAAATAACCCCCACAATAGACAATTTAAACGTGCAATGTCTGTCTTCAAACACTACCAACATTTCACATGTCAGCTTTTTCACTGAACCCTTTTACATAAAGGATTATTTAGCTCCTCTGCTTACAGGTCATTTTTCACTGCAAATCCAACCAACAGCATGCCTGTCAGAATTCCTGCCACAGACAGACTTTCCATCTCCCAAAGTATCAAGGGGAAATTAAGAGACTACGACACTGGCAGCAAGAACCAGTAAAATCACAAAGTACATTTTCTTTGAGCATGCATCAAGATGCTGACTTCACAGAGGTTAAAAAAAACCCTCTGACCTAGAGTATAAGCTTACTATAGCAAATTCACTTTCACACGGCTCATCGTTAGAGCTTGAGCCACCATCACCAGTAAAGCACTTAATACAGGCAGCAACTGCAGACAGAATTTCCACTGAAGCCTGTGGAATTTCTTAGGCCCTCTTAAGTCCTACATGAGCTAACCCCCGATTTGGAAACTCTTTGGTGACACAGATTTATGAATTACAGACACTTCTGACTTCACTGACACGATCGTCTCCAGCAACCCACTCAGGCTTGTTGGTGTGGGGCAAAGCAAAGCAAGCACTAGGTATTACACTAAGCATGGCTATATGCCTCATGTAGTAATCTATACATTTTAAAGAAAAAGGTACAGGGGGTAAAGAACTTATCACTCAAAATTAATCTGGCTTTTCTTCCCTACCCATATTTAAAAAAAAATCCTTTTCAGAAAACACAACCTGATTTTTTTTTAAATGCATTTATTTACAATGCCTTTCTCTGCTCACAATAACAGCCACAGAAGCAGCAGCTTTAGAGTTCATTCCTGGGATCAGAAGATCTGCCTACAGCTAAATTGTCGGGGTTTATTTGTTACATTCAGCAAGAACAAATTATACACTTTCGTTTTCAGAGGACACAAAGAAAAGCCACAGACATCGAAGGAAATTTCACAGTTACTCAAATAACGTACCATCCTGATTACCTGTAGAGGCACACAAAATAGGATATACTTAGGCAGGGAACTTGAGCAGTTTTTAATGCATTCATGTCTCAAACACATCAATCCAGTTTCAGACCATTAATAAAACTTAAAAAAAGCCACCCCTCTCCTTTCTATAGCTACTCTATTTTCTCTACAAAAACCAATTGTGTTATATTACTTCACAGAGGAAACATATCAAGGACTTTGGCTGATGAACCCACCTATTTGATTCTTCTTCTCTTACATACACATCAACTCATTGCATCTGCACATACAGGGTTGCTTACATCTTTAGTCAGTATACTTTATTAACATCCTGTATTAAAATACTCTCTTCCCTGAGGGTGTTGATTCACTATCTTTTGTATATTTTGTTCTTAGGCTTACTTCTCGCTTCCACTTAAGCTCCTTCTGCTATTGAGAATCTACTTTTTTAGATTTGAATTATGAATAAAAAGTTGTGGCTTTAACAGTGTTCCACGGTGGATCCCCAGCAAATTCTTCCTGATGTATGCAAGCCCCACTGGGACAACTGGTCGGCCCTGGTTTTAGCTCAGCTGCATGATCAACAACTTGGACTAGATGACCTCTAGGGGTCCCTTCCAACCCAAAACATTCTATGATTCTAACTGCTATACCATGTTCTACAACATGGGAGTCATTTACATTTTCCTACCAGAGATGAAGTTGTGACAGGGAGCAGGTGCTTCCTAAATGAGTACTTTTACTGGACAGTACCTTACTTCCAATAAAACGCATGTTTTATAGGCAGAACATGGAACTCTGACATATAAATTCCTCTTTGGGCAATTCCACATCTTTGTTTATCCTTGCGTCCCTTCTCCTGCAAGAACTTGGAATCAAGACTGAGAGTAGGACTTATTTTTAACAAACTTTTAAAACCAAGACCCTCTCCCTCCACAATTAGCCCGGTTGCACTTTTCACACTTTTAGGTAAAGCGCAGATTTCCCAAAATCTGAGCAGAGCCAAAGTGCCAAAAATTACGAGCGTTAGCAGATCACAACACGGGTATCAAACCAAGCAGCCTTTTAGCGTTGAAGCATCCCTCCAATTGCATGTTGCCATCTTCCCCTTTAAGAAAAACAAAACAGAAAAAAACCCAAACCAGTCTGCCATGAGAAGCTGCATTCAGACGCCTGAAACAAAACACTGAAATGAAAGCAGCTTCTTCCAAGGCAAACACCAGCAGATGCACAGGGGAAGACTCAAAACAATACACAAGGCACAAAAATGCAATTCTTCACCCCAACACGTTTCCAGGGTAATCCCTGCTCTGACATAACATGCTCCAGAAGAAATAACAAAAGTGAGGATGTTTGCCGATAAAAAAGAAGCTACAGTTGGCACAGCTTTCAGTCCGGTCCCCTCTAACCCTCTCAATTAACAAATTAAAAAGCCCCACACCGTATAGCTCGATCGCTACCTGCGTTATCAGGCTGCTGCCGAGGAACGTGACGGAGCTGAGGGCGGGAGGCAGGTCTAGGAAAGCCCGACGGTGATTCCGCCCCCCCCTCCCCGCGCTTTAATCGCCCCTGGGGGGCCCCGGTCTCCACACAGCATCGCTGCCCCCAGCCGTGCCCAGAGCCCCGGC